GAACTGTTGCTATATGTCTCTTAATTACAAAACTATGCACCGGCTTATCTCTAAAGACTGTTGCAAAAAGGTTACAATCCTTCAGTGTAGGGTTAAATTGTAATGCTACACTAAATGCTCTAAACAGAACTATCCCACCACGCTGCCGCCAAAATGTGACGTACGCCCGGCCCAGACCCGCTATATGTCAATCCCACGTGACCATACACAAGTCTGAACCGAGCGTGAGCGCCACAAGGACGTGGTGATAGCACTCTCAGCCTCACACTGCGCAGAGATTTCCCAGCTCGCAGGACACAATCTCAGGCCAGCAGACTGAGAGCGATCGTCATCAGGGTTGGTTAACTCCGCAGTTAACCCTTTACCAAACTTTCACTGCCACCATGTGTTTTTCGGAACACAAACCGTGCCCAGCAAATGCTGCGACTATTCAAAACACTTCAACAATGCCTGTGATGCTGCCATCCTCTCAGACAGGAATATGACAGGAGTCACTATACAGTAGTGACTCCATCGGTGCATTTGGGCGCGTACGAATATACGTTGGGAGCCATATATACTTTAAACTAAAGCAGAGGCTCCCAGAATTCGGATTCAGGCCCATTCGGATGCATTAACCAACCAGAAAAACACATGACTGGCCAGAAAAGTTACATGTCCGATTTAATTTAGTTTTTAAACGAAATTCGGACAGAATCAGTTTGGAAACAGAAATCATTTCGGATTCGGATTCGGACACATTCCAATGCATTGTGTATCGGAAATTCGGATGTGTCCAAATGTCCGAATTTTGGAAGATTCGTATGAATTTTGATTATTGCTTGCTTCAATGTCCCAGTTATGACATTGGAGACGGGGTGGAAGTGAATAATAAGAGAAGTTTTCTTCTGCTTCAAACCTCCTGTAGACTCAAAACTTAGATCTTCATTACCAACTCCTCCAACCTCCCTGTTATGGAGACTACCACAGACCCAAACTTATTTTAAAATGTGATTACAAATAAGCAAACATCACACAAACAACTGGCGTAAATGGCTTCTGGTGGAGATAGTGTTGCCACTAAAAGGCTATTTAGACCAAGGAATTATATTCTACACGTGAGTTCCTATGTGAAGAACATTTTGTTCAGTACACACAAGAGATCTATATGGATAATCCAGCATATGTCAAGTACAACTGAAGAGTGCAAAGGATACTATCTGTATCCTCGTTAGGGAAAGTCACCCCCCTCTATATGTTTTGCTGACTGTTATCACTAAAAGTGGAAGAAAATCCCAAATTGTGGGTTCTCATCATAACAGGAATAGATGGGAAATCTTCCCATGAGGTCACTAGTTTTGGCAACCCTACTGACCACCGGAGATTGCCCTCTCTTTTCAGGGATTTCATCTTACTTGTTGTGGCTTTGGGACAGGAAGTTAAGGGAAATCTCCCCAATGGGACACAGATGCCAAAAATAAAGCTGATGGAGGTTATAGACCTCCCATACTCTATCCCAAATTAAAATATAGTTTTGGCTTCATTTCTAGTTTAGGGAAAAGCTGGATGGAGCATGATCCCTATTATAACAATTACATTTTGCATTAGAACAACAGTTCTTATATTTAAAAATAGGGTACCCCTTTAGTCTGCGCAATCAGGGTCATTTTAATTAATTTAATTGATTTTATCAATGATAAAAGTGTTTTTTAAAATTAGATACACAGAGTTGCACAAATTTATATTATTGTTATTTTTAGGGATGCACGACCAATCAGAAAGCTGGCTCAATGCTTTCTCGTCATCTAGTGATGAGAAGCATGGATACGGCTTCCCGCTAATCGGGCGGGTGGCGAGTCTTTACACGCCGCCGGCTTCCCGGCTAATCAGGAAGCCAGGTGGCGAGTCATTACACACCGCCTGACTTCCTTAACCAGTTGACATCCGCGGTGTTAAACCCCCTTCCCATCCAGGCCATTTTTCAGTATTCAGCGCTGCAGTACTCTGACTGACATTTATTCCGTCATGCAGCGCTGTACTGAAATTAATTTTATACCCTTTTTTGGGGACAGATAGAGCTTTCTTTTGGTGGTATTTATTCACCACTGGGGTTTTTATTTTTTTACTATATTAAGGAAAAATTACCGAATTTAAAAAAAAAAAATTGCCGTCCGTCCGTTTTTTTACAATGGGCGGACGGCAAGAGGTTAATGGGACTTCCGGTATCGTTATTCAGTATTGGTGAGTACCACAAAAAAAAATATCGGTATTCGTACTTTATACTGATAAAACGGTATTGGTGCATCCCTAGTTATTTTTGTTTCTTGGAGATTATATGTATTGAGATTTTAAAAAATAGGTTTGGGTCTACGGTAGTGTGATACCAAGAAGGTGGTAGGAGTTGGGTATATGGATCTAGTAAGGTACCTAAGGGGAATCCAGACCAAATTAAGCCTTGTAGCCTCATTTTTTGTATTTTTGGAGTTTATAGACTAAACAAGCATTAAACCCTTGCTATCCCTGTGGCCAAAAACTACAACGTTTTTATGGATAACTGGAGTTTAGCTTTAAGGGGCTGCTTCATAAAGGGTTTGCCCAGCATACAGGAGATTCCTATGTTACTCGGCTCCATCTAGAAGCAGTAATACTGTGTGAACGGCATTCACCCAACCCTTTATAAATAAGTATTTGATACAATAAAGGCAGATGGTAATAAAGCCAACTTTCTAGTATAGCATATGTTACCCATTATATTATTTTATGTTTGTTTCCAAGGAAAGGAAATGATAGCTGCCTTGTTTATCCATCATGATCCTGTTACCTGTTGTTGACAAAGGAATATTCACATGAACACATCTGTAGACTTTGAGAAACAGAAATGGGATTACTTGCAAAATCTAATACTTCCCAGTGGGTGCTTAAAGGTGGTTCATTATTGTACCCTAAGTTGTTGTCCTGTGGTGTCAGTAAAAAGGGACACCGGATTACTGCCACTGTACAATAACCATGAACCACAATCATGCCAAATCATGAAATGTTTGCTAACAATTACATTGACGAAAATAGTGGGATCTTTTGGCAATAAATGAATGATTCAGGTGGATGAAACAAGGGAACAGGTTGTTTCTTTTGCAATGTTACATAGAAAAGAAAGAGAAGTCAACATAAAACTAAGGCTCCCTTCACACGGGCGGTCCAATCCGGCCTGCCTGTGAGTTTTTCATGTGGACCAGATCAGATGCCCAATGATAGTCTATGGACAGAAGGGTCTAAATGGGCAGGCATCCATTTACCTCTGGTTACCCCCAACTCCATCCAGGTCCATAAAAACCAACAGTTCAGTTTTGACGGACCCAATCATGCCGGCTCAGGGATAATCTGATGTAAACGTACACATGTCCACTTACATCTGATTCCCCGTAGACTGTCATACGGTCCGGTCATTTCAGTTTTTTCCTCCAACGTAAAATGAAGGAAACAAAATTGGATGAACACGGGTGTGACAGGGGTCCATGGGTCCCCTCCTGACCAGCCCGTGTGAAAGGTTTATGTGGTCTTCATCAGGTATGTTTGTATGTTATAAGCTTGTAGCTACCAAACCAACTTTTAGTAGTAAGTGTACTTATTTGTGTATAGGTCTTAGAAGTCCACACTTTGGCCTTTGCAAGTAATGTGAAGAAAATTATAGATGATGACATGTAAAATATTAAAAGAATAATTAAAATACTAACTACTATCATTAAAGTCGACCCTTCAGTAAACATGAATACATTCCTGATATGTCATAACAATATAATTTTTAGCAAAGCTGTACTTTTTTATAATTAAAACGCATTCATCAAGCTTCAGTCCGGTGATTGTGCCTAGGCTCAAAACATGTATTCATTCTGCTGCAGACAGGAAGGGGGAAGGGGCATTTCCTGTCCTACAGTTATCGGCCTATACATTGTAACAAAGTGAGAGGCTGCAGGGTCTTCCTGTCTGCAGGGTCTGTGTCATAAATTTGTGAACAAGTCAAGAACTGCACAGGCACCAGAATTTGTATGATTGTGTCACCCATGAGACAGCATCTCACTCTAGACAGTGAGTGACCCTTGACACTGATTGAAGAAAGATGGTGGCTTTGTTCTAACAAAGTTTGTGACTTTGTTAGAATGTGTGACCGGTGAAGTGGTCACACATTTTAACGTAATCCCGCCCAGTTTTTCGGCGGTGCAATGTGTGACCGGCAAAAGGTGAATTCCAAAGCTTTCTCAGCTGTTCCAGGGCACATCGGCATCACAGATCGTATGTGCAGGAGAACCGATCTGCCCTGGAACAGCTGATCGGTCCTGAAATGTCACTTCTATCCGACTTTGCAAGTACGATCTCACATTCCACAAAGTCGGATAGAAGGGACATTTAGGACAGATCAGCTGTTCCAGGGCAGATCAGTTCTCCTGCACATACGATCTGCAAAGCCGATCTGCCTGGAACAGCTGAGAAAACGTTAGAATTCTGTACATTTTGCCGGTCACATATTCCACTGCCAAAAAAGTGGCCTTGATTACATTAAAATGTGTGACCACGTGACCGGTCACACATTCCAACCCAGTCACTATCTTTGATAGAACACCGTCCTTCTGAAGAGAAAAGCAGATGGAGGAATTGTTAGGGGGAAACAGGTAAGAAATACCTAAAAGTGTTACACATAGCACATTACCTAGTGAGTATGCTCTTACATGAATAATATATATGACGACAGGTCCACTTTAAATGGTCTTACTGTATATAGCAGAATACAACCTGATTTTCTTTCTTATTTTGTGTGATGTGATCTTTTACCTTCCTATAGACAAACTGGCCTTCACTTAAATTTTGGCAGTGAAACATTTTTCAGGGTGGACTATGTTTGTTTTATTACGTCCCTTCTGTCAACCAACGGTGGATCAGCTTCCCACGACAGGCGGAGTCCAGGCACAATATATATAGAACAGTCTCCCAGGTCTTTATATCTGTCTCCTGCATCCTCATCTATCAAGATGCTCTTTGCTGTGAGCCTCGTCCTGCTGTTTGCTGGAATCTCTGCTTCTGAAGGTAAGACGTCTCACCCTTCTCAGCTATTTCCACCTTAGGCCACCACTGACACAGACCCCCTGCGCCTAACACAAGAGAAGTTATCTGGGCAGTATAAACATTTTCATGCTTCCAAGATTACTTTTTCCTGTGTTCAGATGTTCCTGGGTTTAGCCACATAAAAGCAAACTGAGCAATCCCAGGACGCAGAAAGTTCTTTTTTTAAATGCGACTAGACGGCGAACCCAGACCCTGCTAAACATTTAGGTGTGCCTTCAGCCATAGCAAAGCATTACATAGAAGCATGTTTTTTGTTTTATTCCCTTGTGCATGGGGCCTAAGGGTGGTTAGACACTATTGCTTAATATTTTATACTACAGTAGTCACAGCAGTAGTCTGCACTAATCCTTTAACTACCTCCGGGCCAGCCGTTGTGTATACACGGCTGGCCGGGAGCTTCTTGGATGTAACTGGGCGTGTATACACGTCCTGTTAGATCCGCCCAGACGAATAATTAAAAAACCGGCAGCGATGCCTGTTATCATACAAGCGATCCGCCAGCTAAGTGCTTGTATGGGGTCCCGATATGTGCGCCCCCTCTGCGGCCCCCCTCCGGCTGTCACGCTGATCCCGGGCTCCGCTGTGCCCGGTGCGAGCCCGGGACTAGCATAGTGGCTCTCTAAAGGTGGATTAGAGGGAGGTCGGTTCACGATCTCCCTCCAGTCCCCTCTCCGCTGTCAGAATGCGGAAGTGGTGTATATAACATCACTTCCACATTCTCGTGTCACTCTCCAGCTTTAGATGCTGAAGAGAAGCTGATGAAGCAGATCTCTGCTTCATCAGCTTCTTCAGGGGGGTCCTAGGTGACATTAGGGGTCTTGGAGACCCCTGATGTCTCCATAAAGAGGACCTGTCACCTCTTTTGCTATCACATATAGGGGTTTCTTAGCCCCCTCTGTGATAGAAATAAAGTTAAGTGAAAAAAAAATAGGAAAAAAAAAATAGGAAAAAAATTTAAAGTTTCCCCCCCAATTTTTTTTAAGTTACACATAAAAAAGAATTAAGAGCAATAATTTTAGGGTCATCAATCACTGATAACACTAAACTGATGATTCTTCAAGCGGTTAAAGCCAATCAGAATTCAGTATTTGGCAACATTAAATGGGCAGACTAGTTTATGTGATTTCTGATTGGTTTTCTTGAGTTACTTAACATCACGGGCCCGGCTCTTTACATTGTTATTCAACAAGCCTACAGAATGAATGTAGATATTCTAACTCATGATTCCAAAAGGGAGGTCTCAGTGTTTCATAAATACTTGCTACTTAATAAGTCCCCTGGCATTTTTGGCTCTTTCATGTGCCACTGGTGAGATAGCCTTGCTGTGTTTCAAAAATCTGCTTCACCCGCTTTCAGGTCTCACTACTCTTCCTGCAGCACACAAAGTTTTAATCCCCCTGTTGCATTCTGCACACTATGAATGATAAAAATAATAATTAAGGGAAAGTGGGCTAGACTATGGCTACAAGGAACGGTCTTAGTATATTTCCTTTTCAAGATGGATGTATTGTGATATAATAGTGCAATATGACTACTAGATGGAGCTGAGGGGCATGGGAAATAACTTTCCTGGCACATCATGGCAGCACACAATGGGTTAACGCTCCACCCCCTAACCCCATAGGACAAGCCCTCTATAAGTTTTGACCCCTGTTGCTTGGACCCTATTCATTTTTCTGTCCTCGCCTTGCAAGCTCTCCGGATGAACATTTTTTATTTTTACCCTTACCTGCCGTCTCCTGCGGTATACTGTTCAGGGCTTACCAGCACCTCAAGAGGTTAAGGCGCATTCCACCCGAGGAGTGGCTACGTCATGGGCAGCCTCTGCCAATGTTTCAGCTGAAACCATCTGCAAGGCGGCTATCTGGTCCTCTCGGAATACTTTCATTCGTCATTATCGAAACGATCCTGCTGCCCTCACTACCGTGGCCTTTGGCAGGACGGTCATTTCTGTGGGCTCTTCTGCCTAGTTACATCTTCTTGCTATTAAAAACATTTTTGCAGTTATTCCCTCCCTGTGTGATTTCTATATCCCATTGTGTGCCATGATGTGCCACGAAAACGGAAAATTGTATACTTACCTATTGGTAATTTTCCTTTCCTGGTGCATCTTCATGGCAGCACACAGGTTACCCACCCTGCATGGCTCGTGATTTAGACGAGAATAGGGTCCAAGCAACAGGGGTCAAAACTTATAGAGGGCTTGTCCTATGGGGTTAAGGGGCGGAGCGTTAACCCATTGTGTGCTGCCATGAAGATGCACCAGGAAAGGAAAATTACTGATAGGCAAGTATACAATTTTCCGTTGTTTATTTTCTATTATCCTCGGCTCCATCTAGTGACCTTAATGAATTGTTATGGTTAGTTGACAAACTACCCAAAATTATGTGTCTACAGCAGTGTGTGAAAATGTTTTTTTATATATACTGTGTATATACACACTGAGTGACCAGATTATTATGACCACCTGACGTTTGTAGGCAAATTAGCTATAATTAGGGCTGAAGTTGCTAGAGGGCCAGACCATTATAAATAGGGAAGCAGGTTGTTTACCACGACAGTAGAAGTCGTGAAGTGTACGGAGTGAACGATGCAGAAGACATTTTCAGCTGGGTAGACAATAAGTGGAAACAAGTTCCTGGAAAGCTCATCCATGTTTCTGTTGGACCTGCTGGAGTTTGGGGTGTGAACAGAGCCAACACCATCTTTAAATTCCAGGACAATGCATGGCTGCCTATATCAGGTAAAATATTCTTTTTACAAATGAATCTAATATATGAAGAAAGATGTTTATATCATCTACATAGTATTGAGATATTCTGCTTTGCTTTAAAAAGTACATAGAAGTGTACACATCACTGCCTAAAAAAAGGAATGCCGTTCATTTAGTTTTTTGTATTTTACTCTTCTGCACTCCTGGGTCTGGCTGGAACCTGGAGTTACTTAAAAGTACATTCAGGGCCAGTTCACACCACAAAGTCTGCGTTCTGCCTCTGGAACGCACTGGAACACAAGCCGGCCGGCTCCCTGCGTTCAGGGGTTGGAAAGGGCGTGGCGGTGCATGGAAGTCAATGGCACTGCAGCCACGCCCCCACCCACAGTGCGATCGCCCGCACCCGGAACGCAAGCACTACTTTTGCAGATTGCACTGGACCAGAAAGCAAGCACTAATGTGCTTGCGTTCCAGGTGCGGGGCAATCGCACTCAAGGTGGGGGGCGGGGCCATTGACTTCAATGCACCGCCACGCCCTTGAACGCAGGGAGACGGCCGGCTTGTGCTCCAGTGTGTTCCAGAGGCCAAATGCTCTGGAACGCAGACTTTGTGGTGTGAACCGGCCCTCAAAGTAACTAAGGGCTCCTGCATGGCAGTCGAAAAATATCAAACAACTGTGCATCAGTTACTGTGATGCACAAGCCTCCTAATGTAAACTAAAAACCTCTTTATCCCTCCCTGACTAAGCCAAATCCTCCATTTTTTTTTTGTCTCCCAAATGCGCCTCCCTCCCAGACACTGCAGCTCACAATAGGAGGGTTTAAGCAACATAGGCATTGCGTTCAATCAAGAAAGGAAGGGGCGGAACTAGGTGTGGATAGGTGCTTACTGACAAGCTACAGGCTTGTGAATCAGCAGTGGCAATGCTGATAGCCATGACCCCTGCAGCATCTTCTCATCCCATTTAAAGTGACATTAAAGTATAATTCCCACCATCCCCAATGGTGGTGTAAGGACTTAGATGCCAACAGTTCTGGAAAGATTGAAAGGACACTTTTCCACAACAAGAAAAATTGACTACCCTGTTGCGGCAACTTTTTGCTGCCCCTGTCTCCCATGACATGTCATTGGACAACAGTGGTCAGTTTCAAAATAGGGGACTGTTCTGCAAAAAAAAGGACACATGGCAACCATGCATAAGCAACAGTGAGATGTTACTACAACGGAGGGTTCCAATCCTATTTGGCAATTGTTTTTAATCACCTGCTATTACCTTTCATTTAATGAGCCAATGTTTTGTGTTCTTTCAAAAGGGGCCTTGAAGCAGGTAGATGCTGGTGGTGATAAGTTCTTGGGTGGAGTGAACGCGCAAGACAACATCTTCTGCTTGAGACAGAGTTGCACAGTTTCAAGATCTTCTGCTGTATCCTTCACCCCACTTGAAGGATCGCTGAAATATTACAGCTGTGGACCAGTGGGCTGCTGGGGAGTGAACAGCGGCAACAGCATCTACTTCCGCCACAATGTCAACCCAACCGCCTGCCAGGGAAACCAATGGCAGCACATTGAAGGCAGTCTGGTGATGATAGAGGTTGGCACAGATGGTTCTGTGTACGGTGTCAACTCAGCCGGCAATGTGTACAGAAGGTATATTTTAACTATGTATGCAGGGGCATTAAGGCAATATGTAAAAAAAATTTACTTTGGTACATAAGTGTTAATAGTAAATGTTGAGGAGAAGCCAATTAGATAAGTCTGCTACTTATCATTTACCAAACACTGTGGAAGCTCCCAACAGCACCATCGGATCTGAAACTTTTTGCTCCTCTTAGGAGAATCATGGGGAGAGTGAAATACACTCATCCTCATAATTTATAGCCAACATCAGCTCTATTGATCAAGAACTGAGTGACCACATATCACTGATCACTCAGTTTACGATCCTCTTCCTGCAGAGAACGATGATTGCCAGTCAACACTCTCTGCAAGGATTCCCCGCTCTCTGTTCCTCCAGGACTAACGGGAGGGATGGATTGGAAAGGGGACGGGCACAGCTGGCTCTGGCTCTGGCTCTAAGGAGGCAGAGAATCCACTCAGTCAGACAGCGGGGTGGATCCCGACAGTATTGTCAGGATCTTTAGCGGCTGCAGCACGGCTCTCCACTGTGAGCCTATAGCGGCCAATAGCCCGCTATATACAGCGCTTTGGGTCATGGGAGGACAATAGTAAATGTCCTCCTGTGACCCTGAAGAGAACTATGGCCAAAAAAAAGGTTGGGCCATAGTTATTTTTTAACTGATACCTCCCGTGACCATGGCTTTCATTCATCTAGCATATAATCAGTCTGGAAGGCTTATCCCACTAATGCCAGTAGGTTTCTGAGTTGCTATGTTAGTTGGTATTCTCTAAAATGTTCTTAGCAGAAAACACTATTTTTAGTATTTTATTGAGGATAAGCCAATTAGACAAACCTGCTGCTTAACATCCAGCAACCACTGTGGAAGCTCCACAAAGTGTCATCGGATCTGAGACTTTTTGATCCTCTTTTTAAACTGAGATTGAATCCTCAAAATAGGCAATAAATGATATCCCCGTGACCACGGTTTTCATTCATCTACCGTATACTCAGTCTGGAAGGCTTATTCTAGTAATGCCAATAGGTTTTTGAGGTGCTATGTTGGTTGGTATTCCATAAAATTTTCTTTATAGACATTTTAAGTTTTATTAAGATTTATAAAAGAAATATAACATAGGTTACAATAGTAAGCAAACTGTATGAATTGCATACAAAAAGATTATACATACTCTGTATACTTGTAAGATGTAGAATCTGGTGTACAGATAGAGCGAATAGTAAAGGACATGAATGGTTAGGGGGAGGTATCCAACTTAAAGGATGGTCATTAGGGTTATAAAAGTAGTTGAAAGGAAAAGGATATAAAATCCCAAAAAGGGGTCATGCCAGTACCGGGCAAAGAGAGCCCTATGTGTGGTTCTTGCCCATTTTTTCTATTTTTTTTATTGAGCCAAGACTAGTCTACTACTTATCATCCAGCAAACGCTATGGAAGCTCCCAAGAATGTTATTGGATCTGAGACTTTTTGATCTTCTGATTAAAATGAGTTTGTATCCTGAAAATAGTCAATAAAAGATACCTCCCGTGACCATGGTTTTCATCCATCTACCATATAATCGGTCTAGAAGGCTTATCCTGGTAATGCCGATAGACTTCTGAGTTGCTATGTTGGTTGATAGTCCATAATATCTGCTTTGTAATAATTTTTTGTAATAATTTTTTATGAGGATAATCCAAGTAGATAAGTCAACTAATTATCATCCAGCAACCAATGTTGAAGCTCCCAACAGTGTCAGTGGATCTGGGGCTTCTTGCTCCCTTTTTGCAGCTGAAATCATAACCCTCAACATAGGCAATAAATGATACATCCAACTACCATGGTTTTTATACATCTACCATTTGGTAAGCATGGAAAACTTTTCCTATTAACACCAATGGGTTTCTGTGTTAGCTGGTATTCCATTTTCTGTAAAGGAAATGCTGTTTTTAACTTTTGTTGTTGTTGCATAACGGTAAAACATTTTTGTTTCAGGGAAGGAATCAGTGCCAAAACCCCTATTGGTACCTCCTGGACTCAACTGGACTTTTGCGCCACTTTCAAACACGTCACTTACGACAATGGCTATCTGTGGCTTATCAACCCAAGTGGTGGCATCTATCGATGTGCAGTGAACGTATAACTGATTGGGCCAGAACACAAGACCAAGAAGAGCGATCTATAGCGTGATCTGAGCCTAAGTGGATACACAGACGGCTCTCCCCATCCATTCATCTCTGTCCTTTGGTGTTTAGGTCTTTCTGCAATGTTTTTCACTGCCACTAAAAGCATCTACTGCTAGCTATGACTTTCAGTCCAACATCTATATCCTGTTTCAAAAATATTTCAGAGCAAATAAACTTTTTCCCTAAAAAATAGTGTTCTTCATAACTGTCAGAGTATTATTGTTAAACAAATTATTTTTCTCATTTTACCTCAGTCTAACAATTTTGAATTTGCTGCAACCAGGCAGGTTGAGGTCTGGGGGGCAGCCAGAGAGGGGGTGTATTCAGGGCCGGATTTACTCTCTGTGCTGCCCCAATGCAAGGTTCCTCAATGGGCCCCCCTGTATGCAGGCTGCATACAAAAGATCTCAGCGACATCACCGAGATCACTTGTACAAAACAAGCGGCAGGTTCTCCGCTGTACATGTAGCCCTGCTTGCCCAAAGCAGGGCTTAATGTAGAAAACAACTACCTGTCCAGTGCCCGGAGCTGCATGTCCTGGGCATTGGGAGATAGGAATTCCACACCCTTGCTGCCCCTCTACTCCCTGTCACCCCAAGGCCGGGCCTCGGTTGGCCATGTGGGAAATCCAGCCCTGGGTGTATCCGTTCCCCCATGTAGCAGCAGACATTGAGGATAATTTACTATAGGAGTGGAGAATCTTCACTCAAGAAAATGTTGCTGTATTTACTTTGACTACCTAATCATGTGCAGATGAAAAAAATAAACAGGAAGTTGCTTTTAACATGATTAGATAATTGAAATGAAGATTGTACAGTAACAAAACAGAGATATACATGGAAGCATACATGCACATCTTTATTAGATTCAATTAGGAATCAGAGTTTTCAATACTCTTATGACATACAGACATATCAGCTGACTTTGAAGTTAAGTGGACCATTTGACTAGCAGCAGCCATGGCCATGCCCCTTAGTCCCAGGCAATGTGGACAGGAACTGGAGCAGTGGCGTCGCTACAGGGGGGCAGGGGGGGAATTGCCCCCCCCCTAGGTTATCACTTGCCCCTGTGTGCCCCCCGCTAACAGTGGCGGCAGTCCCGGCGCTAGCGCAAGGCAAGAGAAATGTTAAAAATCCCCCATAAAATTAAAGGCCCCAGCCCCTGCGAACACACGCATTTAAAACATAAACATAACATAACATAAAACATTTTTTTTTAATACTCACCTGATCCCTGGATCCACCGACAAGTGCAGCCTCCTGTCTCGCATGCTGTCAGAAGCTGCATACAGTGCGTGCTGGTTACTACTTAAACCGGCGCACTGTGTGCAACTTCTGAGAAGATACACTATTAGCGTAGCTATGCAAAATGCGCAGCCGGCTTCCCCGCTATGCTAATAGCGTATCTTCTCAGAAGCTGCATGCAGCGCACCGGTTTAAGTAGTAACCAGCACACGCTGTATGCAGCTTCTGTCGCAACCAGCAGGGTGCAGATGCCATCCGCAATTAAATCAGCTCTAGGCACCCAGCGGTTGCGACATGCAATGACAATTATTAGTGCCCCCCCAGATCTGACAGTGGTATCTTATGTGCCCCCCCTATATATTGTTCCTAGAGTCGCCACTGAACTGGAGCTATAGTAGGACTAGTAAAGGGGAAGGACAGAGGCTGGAGAGGGATCCACTGGTCACAAAAACACTGATCACCGAAGTGATCAGTGAGCTTAAAAAGAGGAGGGCAGGGAGAACAGCCGAAGAAGCCGTTGTATCCCCATGGATCTAATGTGAGACCACACAGCCCTGGTGAGACTGCGCACAGCCCTGATGAGACCGTACACAGCCCTGGTGAGACCACAGAGCCCAGAAGAGGTCCTACGGCGCTGGTGAGACTCATACACAGCCTTGGTGAGACCCGCATGCAGCCCTGGTGAGACCGCACACAGCCCTGATAACCAGACACAGCCCTGTTAAGACCGTACACAGCCCTGGTGAGACCACAGAGCCCTGAAGAGGTCCTACGGCGCTGGTGAGACTCATACACAGCCTTGGTGAGACCCGCATGCAGCCTTGGTGAGACCGCACACAGCCCTGATGAGACCACACACAGCCCTGGTGAGACTACACACAGCCCTGGTGAAACCACACAGCCCTGTTGAGACCGCACAGCCCTGGTGAGACTACACACAGCCCTGGTGAAACCACACAGCCCTGTTGAGACCGCACAGCCCTGGTGAGACTACACACAGCCCTGGTGAAACCACACAGCGCTGTTGAGACCGCACAGCCCTGTTGAGACCTGTACACAGCCCTGGTGAGACCACAGGCAGTGACGTCACACATGGTGGGTGCCTGTCCACAGGGGTGGGTGACGCCATTGCCGGAGTGACACCAAAATGACTGACAGTCATTTTGGTGTCACCCCTTCTAAAAAGTCGGGAACTCGGTCATGGAGAGAGAGAGGAGGGGGCCTTATCCCGCCGGATGAACGTCCCCTCCTCTCTCTACCAGCGTCCATCACCAAGATGGCTGCCGGGAGTCGTCAATCAGATGGCCAAACATGCGCAATGACGACACTGCAGGGTTTCACCCGGTCTAGAGAACGGGTGACACCCGACCTCGGGACGCCCCTGTGGACAGGCACCCACCATGTGGAAAGAAAATCGCTGTATACTTATTTCATGTGTACATGATTGAATACTTGAACTGAATGTTCACACAAGGTATTGCTAAATTTCTTGGTTAAATCAGCCTTGATGTCTCAAAAGTTTAAGATATTATCTCATAATTATCAAAGCTTTTTTTCCGTGTTCGCAGTACTCTTTCATAGATGCATAGAACTGGTTCAGAAGAACATGAATCCAAGTCATCTTGAGATATACAGTATGTGCTGCTCTTAGATGAATTATAAGAAGCATGCTGAGCAGGTCTAGCCTGTATTTCACTGGAAACGTTCAGCCAAAGATCAATCAACGTTATGATCATAAGGTTCTGGAACATTGTGGTTTATCTGTGTGGTAATAGGGGGAGAGGATATAAACAATTGACACAATGTAGACATGAAAAATGGTTGTTTGAATAAACAAATTCCTTTCATGAGGAGGATTTATGAATTTTAGATGAAATCAGAGATTTTGATACGAACACAGTCTTTGAGATATCGGCTGTACATATAATTTTTTAAGCATGCAAGCGTGATATGAGTTTAAAAGAAGACTATCGCTATTATTTGTTTGAAAAAAAGTAAAGAAATCAGATACAAAATACAATTAATGGGTGTACTAGGTCTTATTCTGTGGAACCGCACAGGGGTTTGGGTGAGGGTCATGATTAGGGAATTTTTTTACTCTATTTGGATTGAAGTAGTATAAAAGGAGGATCAATACCGGGCAGATGTTCAAGAAGTAGGTTTACTTGGCTGGCTGGGAACAAGGAGCAATTCAGGCTTATTCAAAGAAAATGGGCTCGCAGACCCTTTTTATAAGGATTTGGACAATAGAGCCATATGTGTCACCTTGAATTATCTCCAAACACCAGATACTAATGCCACCTGTACTCATATTAGATCATGCCAAGAACATGTGATAGGTCCTCTTGTCTTGCTAAGTCTCCGTCACATCAAGGACAGCTGTCTTGGCATTCAACCTATTGTTCCTTAAGCCAAGGCCAAAAAAGGTGTTTGTGACTTTGTCATTGAACTCTTGTTACCTCGATGGACAAAACCTAAATACCTTACATGAGCCCTAGTTTCTTCGACCCACAAAGCTAAATGCTCCACAAGTTGTTTAATTTAAGTGATTTCTGATTGGTTGCCTTGCCTTGGGTTACTGCTCATCAGAGCTCTTTGCAATGGTATTAAATACTCCTGCAACATTAATGTAGATATCCTATTTCATGATCATCTTAAAGGGCAAGTTGTTTAAAAAAGAGATGTTTCAGTTTTTTCAAAATGCTGGTTACTTAAAGTAGAAATAAAGGTTTAAAAAAAACAACAGGTGATTGGCTTCTATGACAATGGAGGCTTTGTAAGTGTCTCTTCTGCCATAAAAGCTTCTAGCTGCCATTCAGCAATAATTTTTTTCTGTACGCTGAGCTGCGCATGCATAGCTCAGTGTGCAGACCCAGCATGCCGAGATTAGATAACTACAGTGCACATGCGCAACTCAGTGTGCAGACCCGGCATGCCAAGATCCGGTAACTACAGTGCACTTGCGCGGAAGTTACATCAATGCGGCCCAACCAATTAAGCAGCCGAAGACTTGAAAACTCAGAAGAAGATCAAGGCAAAGATGGAAGCACCTGCGAGGGAGGAGCGCAGCGCTGGAGGGGATCGGTTTGGCAGGTAGGTTTGCCATAATTGGCTAATATGCTTTGCATACTAGCCAATTATGGCTAATAGAACCAGTGCGCCACCCCCCCCCCCCCTTGTTTTTTTTAATATGTTTTACTTCCAATGTAATAACTCCCCTTCCCTGGCATTTTTGGCTTTTGTCTGCTCCAAGGGTGAGATATCCTCACTGCGTTTCTCAATCTGATGCACCCTCTTTCAGGACTCACTATTCTTTCTGCAGCAGCCAAAGCTTTAGTCCTCCTGTTGCATTCCGCACAGTATTAAAGTAATTCTCTTATAGAGTAATCATGAATAGACATGTGCGATTCGGTTCGTTCCGAAATACGTTTAGGACGAATTTTCGGAAATTCGGATGCATCCGAATTCTGAATTACAGCTAAGATGAATGCAAACGAATCCAAATTACCGAAATTCGTTAGCGGTAGTCCGGCCGAAATTCTTTTATGGACGGAATTCTTTATTGGACGAATTTCGTTGCAGCAAAATGACATTAGGAAAAAAAAAATGACATTTTTTTTTACAGTCTGCAGAAGATGAAGAAAAAAAAAGCGTGAGGTTCCCCCCCAATTCATACCAGACCCTTTAGGTCTGGTAGGAATGTTAGG